TCCTCCTCCTCCTCTTCTTCTTCTTCTTCTTCTTCTATCAAAAGAGGGGGGAACACTGCAATAAGGCGCTCACTATTTAGTAAACTGTCTAATGAATCACAATGATATATTTTACAATGTTTTGACACAGATAGGTTTATCTTGTGTACAATAAAGTAATACAAACAGATACAAAGAACAAAGTGAATCCAAAAGTGCAGGGGCTTTGAGCAAAAATCAACAATAGGTATAAGTGCTTTTATTCGTAGAAGAGTTATCGACATCAGTCATCAATCAAACCCAAGTCATTGAATCAACGTGAGTCATCACGCGAGGATCCCGGGTATAAATTCACTTGTTTCAGTAAACTTCTTCCGTGAGACAAGCAGTCATTTTACAATAATGTAAAAGGTATTCTCCAAGTTGTATAATACATACCATCAAAGTTGACATTCAGTCCTCCGCACGGCTGTATTGTAGAATTTCTGTATGGGCACCACTGACATTTCAATGAAGAATTCAATCAGAAATTTCTGCCGTTGGTGTGGCTTTGAGAGTTACCGAGGAAACCTTATTTGACGCCGTTTCCCTGATGTGTGACTTTTGAGAGAAATCTGATTGTGATCCTCTTCTTTCTGCGATGACTCACAGAGGCATTTTGAGTCAGATTTACCTTGTGGGTGTGTGGGGTGTGTGTGGAGAACCCCCAATCCTTTCTGCAGAATCTGAGACTTGACGTTTCTAGTAATTTTCCCCAGGAAGCTGAGCCCAACTAGTTATACTGTGAGGTTTAAAGAGGTTGTGTATAACAGAACATTCAGCTCCTTTACAGTCTGGTGGAAATGGGTGGAAAGCCCAGGCAAGCAAGCAAGCAAGCAGAGGTTATTTCGGCATGTAACCAGCACAAAATCAGTTATAAACATAGTTGGGTACCATGCTTTAGGTTGTTGTTGTTGTTGTTGTTCAGTCGCACAGTCGAGTCCGACTCTTCGCGACCCCATGGACCAGATCCCGCCAGGCCTTCCTGTCTTCCGCCGTCCTCTGAAGTTGGCTCAATTTCATGTTCGTTGCATCTATGACACTGTCTAACCATCTCATCCTTTGCCGTCCCCGTCTTCTTTGACCTTCAATCTTTCCCAGCATCAGGGTCTTCTCCAGGGAGTGCTCCCTTCTCATTTGGTGGCCAAAGTTATACTGTGCTACATTGCTCTAGGTACACAGCCGGTAAAAATGGAAAGCCCACTGTTCACGATCCGGTTTAAGAAGTTATAGGTCGGCACGAAAACTAGCCCGATCTTGGTGGATCTCGGAAGCTAAGCAGGGTCAGCCCTGCTTAGTACTTGGATGGGAGACCACCAAGGAAGTCCAGGGTTGGTGTGCAAAGGCAGGCAGTGGCCAACCACCTCTGGATGTCTTGAAAACCCTACGGTGGCCATAAGTCAGCTGTGACGGCAGTCCCCACCGCCACTAAACAGCCAGCCCTGTAGCTAGCAACTTTTTTGCTGGGGCGGTTAATTTTTTTGCTTAGGGCCCCGCCATTATCTATCCGTATGGAGCGATGTGCATTCTCTCCCCCACCCCGTGCTGGTTCGGATGGGGCCGATCAACGAACTGCAAGCCAGTGTACTTCAGAGCTGCGGAGGGCACAGCTGGAATCCCGTGCCTAGTCCCGGGCAATGACTCCCCTGCAAGGTGCATGGAGGGTTGCCTGGCCTCACCCACACTCTTGCAACATTGCCATCTCGGGTTCCCCTGCTGGTGCCCGCTTCAGGTGGCTGCTTAGGAAGGCGCCCTGAACAGCGTCTCTGGAAGTTTGACCAGGGGATGGTCTTGCGAGATCGGAGCTCTGATCCTATGCAGCCCGGTTCACTGACAGGCATGTAGCTACTGTGGAGCTCAGGGGGAGGAGAAGCCAAGGTTCAGGTTGGAGCCCCGGAAGAAACGTTAGGGGGCCAGGCCCCGCAGGCCCCGCGTTAGCTATGGGCCTGCCACTAAAGTTTATTTTAAGCAGGCCCCTTAGTTGCTTCTGGAGATATGGCCGTTTCGCTTAGCTCTAGTACCTACTGGGACGCCTGTATGTGTACCATAGAGTAAGCGTAAGGTTTGTGCATGATTGCGGGATTTTGATTCCGTTTGAGTCCATGCCGGGCTACCCTTTTGAGTGCCCTTTAATTCTTTGTTTTCTAGCCATTGTTGAAGGCCCCGATAAGGAGGACGGCTGTCCGGCCGGTCTGTGGATATAAGCTTAAAGGGGATAAATAATTTGTTTGTCTCACCCATAGCACGGAGAATTCAGTGCGAGGTTTAACGCACGCCGACAAACCACAGACATTTAAGAATCCCGCTTGAAGGGTGCTTATTTCTCTCCTTTCATTCATGCTTTTTACCACAAAGGAAGGAAATCAGGCTATATTTATTTATTTATTTTGTGACTTGAACCGGGTGGATCCAGAGAGCCACAAGCCCAGCAACGTCTTGGCGAAACAGTTTTTCCCATCTCCTTCCTTCCTCCTGACACCAGAAAAAGCTACTGCTAAGGATTGGGGATCCCCATGGATGGCAGACCCAGGGTAGGGGTGGGCAGATCGAATGGAAAATCCATGAGAAATCCCGGAGGGAGGGGAGGCCCATCTCCAGCAGCTCTGGAAGGGTATTTGTAGCTCCACATGTAATTCCACGTGTCTGATTTGTTTTTCTTTTTTCTTTTGGCAGAAAGAAAAACCGTGAGACACACAATGCAGGTAAGGGGCTTCAATGTTTGCGTGGCCAGGCTGGGCTGGGCTGGGCTGGGCTGGGCAGTCCTCTCTGAATTTTCTTTTCTTTTTTTGAAAGTACCCAAAGGTACACATTTATCGATTTTCTCATATTCCTAAGCACAGACAGAAACAACTACAACAAACAACATGTAAACCAAGAGACTTGTTACAGTTTGTTACTACCCCTAATCCATCGCTTCATTATTCTCTAATATTTGTTAGTATTCTCTAATTCCATTATTACAGATTACTACGTACGCAAATATTATTTTTGCCATATCAGCTTAGGCTTTAAATCCATTCACACTATACCAATCATATAGTCTCTTCCAGGTTTTTTGAAATGTCCATTTCTTCGTGCCTCTCCTTTCCATAGTTAGTTTATCTACTTCCGCCGCTTCTAAAAGTTTATTAATATATTCCTGTTTGGTTGGTGTTTCTTGAGTCTTCCGGTATTTGGCATATAATATCCTTGCCGCCGTTGACATGTATACAATCAGGTATCTCTCAGTTTCCTCGAATTCTTTCGGAAAAATATTTAACAGTAGCAACTCTGGGGTAAAGGGAATGTTACGTCTTACTGTTTTTTCCATTATACAGTGCACCCATTTCCAGGAATGTTTTGAAATGCTCTCTGGATTTTCAAGTAAAGCATGCGTTTTCCAATCTAAAGAGAGGTCTCATCGTTTCTGATGTGTGTTTTGGCAAGTCAAGGTATCTACGGTTTGCTTTCTGTTTTCCCTAGTGGAGAGGCACCGGAAGAAGAAAATCAATGCTGGAATAAACAAAATCGGCGAGCTGATTCCATGTTCCCCAGCGCTGAAACAGGCGAGTGGGTGCTTAGAAATATGCACATTTTCTCCCCAGGATCGACTGACTCGGTTCTGCTCTGTCCTTCTTTCTCTGTGTTAGCTCCTTGCACCAGAGGAAATCACCATCCCTAGAGAAATGGGTCCATGGAGTCTGTCCCGTGACTTCTCCTTGATTTGTACCCTTATTTATTTACAGTCTGTTTCCAAACAGTCCTGTGATTTTTGACGGTACTTTGCATACACTAGGAAAACAGATTAGTAAGAGCCTTCCTACTCATTTCGTTCGTTCTCCTTCTGGCTTTGTTCCACATCGATCTGATGAACCCATTCCACTGGTGGAGGTGCTTTTATCTGGCAGAGGTGAGGCACGCTTCTGAGCATCATGGGTCAAAGGAAGGCTCCTTCCATTGGAAGAGTGTGCCAGTACTAGAGGGAGCTAACCCACGGTTTGGCCATTGGAAACAGGCTTTTTATTTGGCTAGTGGTAACTACAGTTCGGCAGTTTTGACACCACATCCTACTGTGGTTGGCACGAAGCAGGATATGGAGGAAGGAATTGATGTGCACACAGGGAAGAGGAAGAGAGAGGAACGGCATGCGAGTTGACTGCACAGTTCTGATCGGTGAACCGTTCCTTGGTTGTGACATCTGGATTCTTGCTCGGGTGACCTTTTCTTGTTTCGTTAAAGGGTGTGATGTAACTTTTCAGCCGCTGCCATTTTGTCTCTGTTCAGAACAGTGGCATCTGCAGGGCTCTTTTTGTAGAAAAAGCCCAGCAGGAACTAATTATCATAATAGGCCACACCCAACAGCAGGAACTCATTAGCATATTAGGCCACACCCCTGCCAGCACAGCTCATTAGCACATTAGGCCGCACCCCCATGTTGCCAGAAGTGTGCTCATCCAGCCACACCCACCTTTTCCTTCTTATTCTGTTTACCTTGTTTGTGGTCAGAACCCAGGGCTTTTCTTGTAGCAGGAACTCCTTTGCATGTTAGGCCACACACCCCTAATGTGGCCAATCCTAATGAGTTTCTGTTGTTGGGTGTGGCGTATAATGCTAATGAGTTCCTGCTGGGCGTGGCCAACTTGGGAGCCAGCCGGAACTCCGTTCCTGTGCGTTCCTGCCCAAAAATAGCCCTGGGCATCTGATTCTGACAAACTCCCGTGGCGTAAAAGGATTTTCTTTAAGGGCCAAGTGAGGTGATGCCTCATCTTGAGTCCGTCACAGGGACGCGGCACCATTTTAGAGCTTTTTGTTTTCCAAACCACTGTGGAGGGCCTGATCCTCCTGGGGACCACGGCGCAGGGGTATCCGTTCCCCCCCACACCCACACACACACCTCGGTCTCCAGCAGTATGGAGCCCCCATGGCAATTTAAAACGTAAAAATCAAAGCTCTGTGGCAGACTTGGGGACGTGGTATCATCTGGTTTGGCTTTTAGATGAAAACAATGATGGCGGCTGTAAATCTGAGTCGGTTGACTTTTAACCAGAATGCAGAACTGGAGTACAAACGCTGAAAGCAGCTTGAGGTTTTAATTAACTCTTGAGACGTCGTTTCAGCAGAGAAAGAAGCTCTTTGGGTATTGCCCTGAGCACAGCTGACACGTTATACGAAGCTGCCTGATACAGAGTCTGTAAGGACAAAAAAGCCTTTGTATTTTTATTTTTGTGTATGAGGTATGAATGGGCCCTTATTTGTTATTTTAATTTGTGTTGAATAAATACATGTATATTTTTGTATGTTTCATAATTAGATGTTTAGAGTTGGCCCTCTTCTATTCTTGACTAACCTTTTTAGGTTCTGATACAGAATCTGACCACTAGTCCCTTTAGTCCAGTACGATCTGTTTGCACTGGAAATTGCTCTCTGAGGTCTCAGGCAGGACTCTTTCTCGGGCCCGCTTTCTGAGACAGAGATGGTGGGGATTGAATTTGGGGATATCTGCAGGCAAAGTAGGTACTCCACTATGGAGCCGTGGCGCCAGGTATGGAAGACCTCACCCCAGTCTAAATATGCATACACCTGAATTAGGCCAGAGGCTACCACAGGCGTTGCATTTCCTCTGCAAGGGTTCCCGGTTTGCTGCTTCCTTCATGCATTCAAAGAAGAAGAAGCCAACCAAGGGAAGTAGCCAGCTAGGTCTCTCAACGGCTGCTAGCAGGGTGGCTAAAGGGAACTTCCAAATTCAGGGACAGTGTGAATCCCAGTCCTAGAAGACATCAGGGAAGGCCTTGGCCTCCATGACCTGTTCGTTGACACTACAGGGCAACTGGTTGGCCACTGTGTGACGGATGTTAAACTAGACGGACCATTGGTCTGATCCAGCAGAGCCCTTGTTTATGTCCTGTTTAGTGGATGACTAACGGTGAAGTGGTTAAGACGCTGAACTGCAGGCTGTGGAAGGTCAGTAGTTCAGCAGTTTGAGACCCGAGTGCCGCGTGACGGAGTGAGCTCCCATCTCTAGTTCCAGCTCCTGCCAACCTAGCAGTTCGAAAGCAAGAAATTGCAAGGAGATAAATAGGTACCACTTCGGTGGGAAGGTAACAGCGTTCCGTGTGCCTTGGTGTTGAGTCATGCCGGCCACATGACCACGGAAATGTCTTCGGACAGCGCTAGCTCTCCGGCTTTGAAACGGAGATGAGCACCGCAACCCTAGAGTTGGATTCAGCTGGCTTTCGAGCAAGGGGACCTTTACCTTTATCCCCATTTCTTAGATTATTCAAAGGTATATGATTGTAAGGAAACTCGTAGTTCAGAAGAGATGCATGATTAGACTAGGATGGGTTCCTGCGAGTGTAATTTTAGTAGTTTGTGGGGTTTGCCCTGTGGGAAGATGGGGGGAAATAGGAAAGCTCTTTAAATTAAACATGTGAGTGGAAAATCTTTTAGATGCTGATGGGCAAATGCCATCTCTGGGTATCACATCAAATGAGAACAAGCCGGCGTGAGGTTTCAGACTGTGTCCCTTGACCCTGTCTGTCCCTGATGATCCCTGTGTTCCTTTACAGAGCAAGATCATGATCCTCGATCAAGCGTATAAATATATAACGGAAATGAAGAGGCAAAACGATGAGCTCCTGTTAAATGGAGGGAACCGTGAGCAAGGTATTTATTTATTTATTATTTTTCATATTTCTACCCCGCCCTCTCCAAACGGCTCAGGGCGGCTTACAGAGGCAAGGCAGACCTCCCCATGATAAAACATAATATACATAATAAATTAAAACATATAATACATCTTAAAATCCTGATTTAAAAAACAAGGTGCTCAGTGACTTCCATAGTCCAGAGATGACAGATCGCCGGACCGGAGTTCCAAGTAGACGGCTTAGGGCTTCTTCCATTCAGATGTTTCCTCAGGGCCTCGTCCAACCCATGGCGGTGGTGGTATAGTAGGGCGGCGACTCCTACTCAAAAGCCTGGCGGAAGAGCTCCGTCTTGCAGGCCCTGGGGAACTGCACAAGATCCCGCAGGGTAAAGAGGAGACCGTGTCCAGTGGGGGTCCAGGTGGCCCTCACGTGAGCTCCTGCCCTCGTGTGATCGAAAGGGACAATCTAGAGGAAATCTGTCGATGCCTAAGACTGTCTTGTGGTGGTGATGGCCTGGCCAGTCACCTACCTGCAGACCATTGGCTGGCCGCGCAATGGACCTGCCTCTTGGGACACTGTAAAGAGACAGCAGACTTGCCCAGTAAGAAGCTCCCTCTCTCTGGCGGAAGGACATAATGCTTCCTGAAATAGTGCTCGGGTGGGCGCTATCCTCAGACGTGTCTAGAGATGTTAGATTTCTGGCCCTTTTGAAACCACAGGAAAAATCCCCCCCCCCCCCTGGGAAAACCACAGAATTTGGAGGGAAATTAATATATATGCAGTACTTCCTGTGCTATCAAACCTAAACTAATTTTACTGCTTTAACAGCATAAGACGCATCATTTATAACACTTGCTAATTTTACATCTTGCTAATAACACCTGGCTTTGGGTGTGCAAGTTATGCTTTCCCCACCAGGGGACAAAAAGACCTTTCATGTGCAGAAGCCGCAGACATTACCAAACGAATCAACCGAGTCCTAGATAAGCTACAAATTGGCGTATTTTTAAAAATTAAATTGACTTGCATTGAAGCAATTTTCTTGACCCACACAGTATACAAATAGCAAACTCTCAGGAGTGTTCAGTTTGTTGGGTTTGACAGAATATCGGCTTGTGTATGAGAAGACTCCCTGGCTTCCAATGTGTCTAAATCACCCTCTTCCTTAGAAAAGCCTATGTGAATTGGAACCAGTGATCCCTCAAAGCTGAGTTAGTGTGAGCTAGCTCACAGTTTTTTAGACTCCGGCCTACACATTTTTTGTCTTAGCTCAGGAAGGATGGCGCCAGAGCAAACAAAATTTAGGCAGCGGCCAAATGGCTCGCTCACAACTTTAATGCCAGTCGCTCACAAAGCACGATTTTTGCTCCCAAGACTCCACAGCTTAGCATTGATTGGAACTATCAAAACGATCAATAGAATCTATCCTTGCTGAGAGAAAATGCAAAGCTTGTCCTTTTCTCCAAACCAGGGAGAATTTTATTTAACGAAAACTGATTTAAATCACGATTTAAATCACCAGTCAGACTCGACTTAACTCGTGGTTTTCTACCTAAAGGCTCCTCCTTGCTGGTTGTTATTACCTTAATATTTACAGCCAAGATGAGGGTTTCATTTTAGTTTAACTCATGGTTTTCTACCTAAAGGCTCCTTCTTGCTGGTTGTTATTACCTTAATATTTACAGCCAAGATGAGGGTTTCATTTTAGTTTAACTCATGGTTTTCTACCTAAAGGCTCCTTCTTGCTGGTTGTTATTACCTTAATATTTACAGCCAAGATGAGGGTTTCAGGTTAGTTTTACAGTTATGTCAGAAAACTGATGGTCGTTTGGTCGTTTACCATTTGAAATAGATAATTATGAAATCATTGCGAGGCGAACTGTCTCTAGATTCTTAGGTTAATCGTTCATACGTGGGCAGTTTTTCTGCTGCACTTTATTGGACGGAGAAAAATAACCATTAACAGTTAACAATCACCATTTAAATTGTTTTATTTAACAAAAACAATAACATTATATGTAGCATCTGTGCTTGCATTTGTTTAAACTTCCACGATGCTGCACTCACAAAGATCTCAAGGCTACTGGAGTATTCTGCTCAGAAAGTTTCGCTTTCGTTTGTACCATTTCCCCCCCTCACACTTCGCTCCTAACGTGGCCTCCTTATCCAGATCTATTCCACCCCAAGCAATCTTCTGTTCATTGAACTTTTTGAAACTTAGCACTTAGGAGGTAAGGGCTTGATTCTGTGTACACAGATTTGCAGAGGAACGACAGGACTGAAGTCTCTGTCTCAACTATGTATGTTTATTTAAAAACAGTTTTGCTGTTAAGTGGAGACACGTTATCTCTGCATTAGGGTTGCCAAGTCCTTTGTACTCACTGGCGGGGGACTGTCTCTTGGCTCCGGGAGTTGCTGCAAGACCTGTGCGCGCACGCAAAGCGCGCGTGTGTGCCACCTGCACGTCACAGGAAGTGACACACGACGTAGAGCACGTTGGGGGCGTGGCCCTGATCAGCAGAGGGAAAACCATAGTTTTCCCTCTGCCGATCGGGGCCACGCCCCCAACGTGCTCTACGTGGTTGTGTCACCTCTGGTGACGCAGCCACGCTGCGCTTCGGGGGGCGGGG